TGTGTGTGTATGTCTCTGTGTGTGTGTGTGTGTGTGTGTGTGTGTGTAAAACCGCTAGGCATATAATGAAGCTGTTTCCTGTCCATTCAATACTTTGGTCCAGTTTGCTGGTTTTGTATGCCTCACAAAGCGGTGAGTAAGTTTAGACATTACAGACAATTCACACAGACAGTGTGAATATAAGTGATGGCTGTCAGAATAAACACAGCTCTTCTTTAGCACACCATGGTCAATTCATACATCTATTTTGGCTATCTTACTTTCATCAGGGTGGTGTGACAATTTGTTTCTTTGTCTACACCCTTCCTGCTTCCTCTCCCACCCCAATTAGAGATCCAGTGGGTAACATTTAGGACAAAATATAATATTGTGTGTGTTTTCATTAGTGTATAATCACCAAGTCATGTTTATCTAGACAGGGAGTTGGTCCTCTTCTACAAAGTCTGCCCCCTACAGTAGTCTAGTAGTGGACAAACCAAACACTGGTCCTTTCACGTTTTTCCCGAGTTTCCTCCGTAGTTTCTCCTACATGCTTGGAACAGGAGGGTGAGGCGATGGTGTTGCAACCAGCAACTACACGACTACAGGCCACTAAATCCTACAAATAGACTAAATACCCCAAAATGCCTGTGAATTAAGCATGGTGTACTGCAGAAGTGCAAGCTGTTTAATGTTGATAGACTGTCTGCACATTGCTACTGTATGTGTGCACTCTTAAAGCCAGAACTTGATGATCCACTGCTAATATCCATTTTGCATATATGTTCTCTTTTAACAGAGCTGGAAGACAATCATGATGTTTGTATGGATGAGATTATCCCGGATGAGGTGAGAATCAAAATCTAATTTTTAACTTCCAGTGTCCACATAGGCACAGTAAAAGCTTGATGCTTAAATACAGATATATCTTTTAATAGCTCTTTCAGATACAGACTACACAGCAGGATCAAGTAGAAACAGATGCGATGGATAAAGAAAACTTCCTCTGCCTCCTTTACCCAACAAATGAACTCAACTGCTCCTGGTCATTTAATACTTTACAAAAAGATACTCAGCTCTTTGTCTATATCAGGTATTTTTTACATTATGCATTACTCATTTAGCTTTGATGAGCATTTATGATTATCGACTAATAAGTTATCGGCCCTAATATATATATGCATCCCTAATATTTACAATACAGGTATGTCAGAATGTTTTCAGCGTGTATCTCTTTCTCTGTCTCTATACCCAGAATCTGTGTGAATAGTACCACAGTTCCCAATATGAGCCATTATTCTGAGGAAAGAGTTGGATCAACATCTCTGATTCTGCATGAGCATGAAATGTTACATGTAATCCTCCAATTTAACATAACCCGGCACGACAAGTGGACAGTCTACACCTACACATACGACGAGGACATGCTAGGTACTACTCCAGCGCAAACAGTCACTGAGCTATTGTGGAGTATTTGCAAATGATAATACCACAGACGGTCTTCAATGTTTGAATAATGGACTAGGTAGCACTTTATTTGGACTCTATCCATGTAGCTCCTGACAGCAGATCAATAGATATGTAAAGTCTGTTTGTCAGCAATCATTTATTAAACAATTGTATAACAGATTGTCTATGGGTTATGTCAACTATACAAAATGTGATTGTTTCAGAGCCCCTTGGGAGGTTACATGGTATACATGGTAGAAATGGGGTCTAAGCAGTCTATTCCGATTATTAAACTTAAGAGCTAAAATTTTTTGAAGCATGGAGTCCAGATGTGCCTTTTTTTAACTCTAGGAGCGGCACTAATGGGTAACTCACAGCAGTGTTTAAATCAGACACTTTAGAGGCAGACCGTATAAATGAAATAAAATAAATTAATTAATCAATATCAATTATTTGACTACTTCTTTGGTTGTGTGTGCCACAGAGGTACTCCTGCCACCTCAAAACATCTCTGTATCAGTCAAAGATGGAAACCTGTTGGTGACATGGGCTCTGCCCCACAGTCGAGTATCCTACAACCCTTCCTGCTTTGACTACCAGCTGGAAGTGGGTGACCAGGTACAGTATGTCAGTATATGGATGTTGATTATTCCAGACATACAACATTAAGTATTATTTAAAAAGCAACCATCCTTTATTTCTATATTTTAAAAACAGGGAAACCTGAAAAACTTGGACACCCACCTGTCTTATAAAGAGCCAAATGCAGATCCCAGTGAAACCTACAGAGTGAGGATGAGGACAAGACCTAAAGATACATGCCAATCAAACCCTCAATGGAGCGATTGGAGTCACCCTGTCAGTGAGTGCTGTTTGTTAAAGTCACCCAAATTGTGGTTTAACCAAAGGCTGCTGATTGTTTGTCATCTCCATCCACTGGTTGATTGGTTGATGTCGGGACACTAGGTCTATTTGATCAGCATCTTTTAATTACATGTGTGTCTGTTTGTAGCGGTGGAACAGTCCATTTACAGTCTGAACATTCTGGTGATCCTCTCAATTTCACTTGGAATACCCATGATCCTCCTGGCTGTGCTTCTGTTGGTGCGCTATCAGAGGTACTGTTTCTGTCTCTAACTGAATGACTAACCTGGTAACTGATGTGTGACTCACACACACTCACATGTGCCCAGTGTTGGGTCAGACACACAAATATAAATTACAAGACAATTTTTGCAATTGGTAACATAATCCATTGTATTACAAAAACTGTTATTTAAACTGAATCCTTTTTAAAACATTACGCTTTATACTAAAGAAATGGACACAAATGTTGTTGCACATGGCAGAGTGGGGGATTTACCCCGTTCCCCTATCAAGATGTATAGAGCCCAGAGAGTTAATAGAACATATCACGAAAAAAAAAGCTCACAATTTTTAAAGCTTCCATAATTTAAAGACGTAATTAAAAATGTAATCAAGTAATGTGAACAATGATGAACTATAATCAAACAGTAGGAGCAGTTTGTTGATCATTATAGTTACAGTCATCAAACTACCCAACACTGCGTGCCGACCATTCATACACACCTCCTTCAGTCTTGCTACCTCTCTTCACACCTATTTTATTTTTTTATCCGCCTCTGCGAACTGTTGCTAAACTGAAAACAAAAACAGTTTTAAGATGACCCCGCAGGAGTGAAGTTATGAAAAAAAGAGTGCAGAAAAGAGAAGTGAGAGGAGTTCATGAGAGGTTGGAGTGTTTTCTCTGAAATGCCACCGCAAAGCATCGACCCTGAACTTCCTTAAGATGCAGACAGAAATCCCCTGTTTGAACTCTAAAATAGCCAACAGGAAAAAACACAGAATGAAAGAAATGCACTTTTGTTCTTCTTTCTTTGGCAGTTTCACGTTTTTGGTCAACTATTTGCTTTAAAACATAATACATATAAAAATTATAACATTTTCTGTGGAAATTGCAGCAAAATAAATGTACAGTGTGTATTGACATTCTTGTTTAAGCATTATTGTGCGTGTTTCAGGGTGTCTAAGGTTCTGTTTCCTCCGATTCCTCGCCCCCCGCTGAAGTATATATATTTTTTGGAAAAAAATGACACTTCCAATGTAAGTACATGTCCATTCTGTACTCTGTCTGTCTGTCTGTCTG